TTACAACGAACGAAGAGATCCGCAGCTGTGACAGGAAGACTCGTTTCGGTTCTAAGATCACTGTCCCTCGACATAATACCACCCTGTTCGAGAACTCTCCAAAATACATGTGCATTAAACTTTTCAACAGCCTCCCTATTGATCTCCTGAAATGCAATCAGGGCCTCCTTCTCCTTTATGTCTAAGGTTAAAATGTTCTTTCTTGATAATCCGTTCTATAGTGTCAACGAATACCTCTGCAAAACCTAATTATGTCTTTCTGTGTGTTATATGTAAATGCGTGTTACTGTTAGTCTGGTTGTAGTCAATTCTGTAGTTTGTATGTATTTTTCAAGTCGCGTAAAATTTGAAATGACGTTTCCAATATTACCTATTTACACTGTAATCAAAATGGAAAAAATAAATAAATATGAAATACCTTTAGGTACGTGTTTTTATTGTAATGCTAAAAATTTAGTTTGGGGGGACGTGGAACAGCATCGCTGTTTTGCAGGAAAGTGTTTATTAAGCGTTGGAGCCAATAATATTCTATATTGCGGAGAGGGTAAGTAATTAACAAGTAGGTACTTTGCATAAGGTGGGTTTATGCAACATTTAAGATTTAACATTTAACAATTAAGATTTAAGATTTAACATTTAAGAAAAACCACTCAGTTTATGTACCATTTAACAATTAAGAAAACAGCCAATCAGAAAGGAGTAGGCTATTTCCAGTTTACTGTCATTTTTTCCATTAAATAACCTTCAAATTTAGTATTAGATAATTAGAATAGGAAGTATTTTGATTATAGGGGTTGTTAACTTGTTAGAGTTAGGTATAGGTATTTTTCAATAAATAGGGATAGTTTTATCGTAAGGGTAGTGGTAATTTTATAATCAGAGCCGCTTTCCTTTCAAATGATCTAAGATTTTAAGTGAACCACTCCCAACTACTCTATTCTGAAGTTGAATGGAACACTCATTTTGTTTACCAAAAAACACCTAACCTAAAAATTGGTTTTGTAGTTAATTATGGATTTATTACCAGTCATTATTAATCTATTGGAAGGTCCAGAAACTAGTGGGAGCAGTAGTGAAAGTAGTACTGATTCTGAGGTTGAGGAATATGCTAGAATTGTACGAATTGAAGGATATATTGAAAGAGTAGTTGTAAATTATAGTGAAACAACATTTAAATCGCATTTTCGAATGCACAAATTAATAGTGTACCAGTTAGCTAGTAGACTGGAAAACAGTGGTTTCATCCCTGTTCATGAACACGGAAAAATGAAAATATCAAGTGAAAAGGCCATGCTTATGACATTATGGTACCTTGGAAACACGGAATCATTTAGGCAGGTTTCTGATCGTTTTGATGTGTCACTGAGCTCTGCTCACCGTGTAATTGAAAGGGTATTAAATTGTATACTGTCTCTACGTACTGAGTACATTAAGTGGCCAACGCAGGAGGAAACAGAAGTTATATTGTCACGTAGAGAAATTTCAGTTCATATTTCAGATGCAAATGTAGGTCAGAACTTAGATCAGCATCCTGTGAGTCTTAAGGAAATTATGTAAAGTAGAATCAGTTTAAGATTATCACCAAAGCTTCCTTCTTTCTTGGATAATTGATGTTGTATAATGTACCACGAACAGGACTTTGTGTTTATACAAGGCCTCGTGAGTAACGGGAACATCAGTCATCTAGGGTGTTAACAGGAAGGAATTGACGTATGAGATCCGAAGGTATAAATGGGAGATGCAGGGATGTGCTAGAGATAGTTGGTGGTATTGGTACACGAGAATCATGTTCGAAATCGATCCCGGAAGAAACCATCCATGTAGAGGACCTGCATGAACCAAGGGAGGTCAGCCTAACAGGGAGTTGTGGAAGTCTTTGTTCCGCAAAAGGAACAGAGCAAGTGTTCGTTGTAAGTAAACGAATGGAACCGCATCCGGAGCGTGTTGGGTGTTCTCCAAGAAGTTTTCAAACTCAAGGGGAATATTAGGGGAAGTCACCAACACTATCCCTTCGTTACTACACCACAATAAAAGGTATACCTATTAACAAAGTAAATGATGATAAAATTCAGACTTGAGATTAGAGATGTTAGATTTCGTGAGAGTATAGTTATTATAAATTTTGTTATTATCAATATTATAAAACTATTTATTATATAAGTCGATTTTACATGATTTGGTTTCTTTAACCAATCATTTAACGTACTTACCAGAATAGGTAACGGATTGAATATTCATTGGACGAACCAACAAATACTTTTCATGCTAAAACACCCTCCACGACGTCATTTGGGAGGACTAAATTAAACCGTATATATATATTATTTACCCTTGTCTAGCGATTGTTCAATCAACTCTATTTCTGTGTTAGAAGAAATGATGGGAAGAAATTAAATGTAAATTGTAAATTGCAATGAGGAATTAACGGTGTTTCTGTCAGTCCATTAACAAAAGAAAAAATAAGAAAATAAATAAAAATTATCAAGTAGGAAGAAACGAGATGCATTTAATTATATTAGGATTTCTTTTAGTTAAACTCATTCATGGTAGTATGGCAAAAGTGGAAGTCACATCAGGAATTTATCTAGAAAGACTACCCAACATAAGTTTTTACCAAAGTACACGACAAGTTATTTTTAGAGTGCGGAAGCCTCAGAGCATTTTGGATAAGTTACAATGTCGTGTACACTTTTGTTTGAAATACCGCTATATTTGTGATCTATTAACCGAAATTAATTACTTTAGCAATTTTCGTAAAAATCCCACAGCTACAAGTAGCGATATTTTACTAAACGACGGTGAATTATTTGATTTTCAGCTTGCTACACGAAACCATTTGAAGAAGATCTTTGCAAGTGATTACGAAATCAGTGTTTTAATGAGTAGATTTGGTAAGCGAGATCATGTCAAGTTACATGAGATTCCATTTCCAGATTTATTATCGCTAAATTATAATACTACATGTACAGATTCACAACTCAAAGATCTTGTTTTAATGGAATTACAGATGAAATACGATAATAGTAGAATGTTGGTCAGTATGTGTCAATTGAAACGTTTGGTTGTAGAATTCGTACCATTAGAATTGTTATCAAAAATTTTGAATAGCTTAATTTTAGAAATAATTAACGAAAAATATGTTTTAGCATTAGGATCATTAACGCAATTCTATACGATGCCACTAGTTGAGTGCATCCTGTCGGAACAAACAATATTGGTCGGCGTACACATACCGCTACTTAAAAAGGACCTTCAGGGACTGCACATGATGAAAGTCCTTACTCCGCCTTATGCATGGGACAACTATACCTGCTCTGTTACCATACCAGTGTTAAATGTGGCCTTGCAGAAAACCAATTCCACTTGGAAAATATTCGTACCTAGATGCGACCCAATACGAGAGGAATTATGCTTCATCAGTGACTACAGAGATGAAGAAAACCTCGGCATATCCTGTGTTCAACAAACCGTCAGAGGAGGATCATTTAGGCAATTTGCAACCAATTGCCCTATTTCCTGCAGAGAAACTGGAAACGATAGTCAGTTCGTTACACCCCTCAACAGCCACCGAACCTTAGTTACCCATCCAAGAGATTCCTTACTTGTGAAATGCGAACACGAAACGCACGAATTGCAGACCGGAGAGAAAGTAGGGGCATTAAGCATTGACGTTCCGTGCGGATGCTATTTAGAAGCTGACGAAGATAGATTTAGTCCTATCTATTCATGTGTGAACAAGCTGGTGACGGTCGGGCAACATCAAATAGTACCGGCGGCCTGGACTCATTATACAGGTCTATCCCTTCCGAAGTGGGGAGACCCAGCCCTATCCTTCGAAAAATTGAACGATTGTATTGACCCTCAATGGATAATTACCCAATTCCCTGAAAACACGATTCCAATCACCACATATTTCCTTGTTGTACTTTACTTCCTTGTATTTATTCTGTTCGTACTTTATTCCTACCTGATTATGTATCATTGCCGTAGCTACCGGTTACATCAAATTCAAAGAAGAACCACAACACCAATGGAGCTGTCAACCGTAAGACCCACTAGTATGAGAGCCAGCCCAACATTAGCAAGGAGACCTCTACCTAAGCTACCAGTATCTGTTGAGACTTCCTTACCTGAAACTGAAAACGACTATTTGCAACCCATTCTGCAGACACCACCGATCTCCAACGAGGAAATTAGGCCACCAACGCCATCAACGTCAACGGGAATAACAACTTATGAGCCACACCCAACTACAGGAAGTGTTCCGTTGGGATTATCTTCTACATATGTACGAATGGACAAATTTATGGCAATCGGTAACACACGAATTCGTAAGTGAAGTGCGAACATAGATGTGCGGGACATTACTTACACACTTACCTAATTCGGCATAAGTCAAATTACTAATTGAACATTAATATTCACCACTTTAACGATAACAGACTGTAATGTTATACGAACTGTAAACTACTAAATGTGAACGTAACGAAAAATTTTGGCTTGTGTTAGATAAGACTTGCGGTATGGTATGTCCGGACCAATCTACCGAACTTAGAATTTTTTTTTATCTTATACTTACCTAGCTAGTAAGATATGCAATTATTTTGTTTTTTTTTCTTTTTCTTATGTATTATTTTATGTATTCATTTGTACTTCATTTTTATTGTCTTTTTTTTATATGATGTATTTTAGATAGTATTAAGAGCATGGTAGTAATCAGTCCTAAACATCCCAGCATTTCTTATGCATTCGGATTCACGTCATTTCACTCCTTTAGTATGATTTCCTTGAGGACAAGGAATTTTCAAGCGGGAGGCAAATGTCACGTAGAGAAATTTCAGTTCATATTTCAGATGCACCTAAGTCAGAAATTAGATCAGCACCCCGGGAGTCTTAAGGAAATTATGTAAAGTAGAATCAGTCTAAGATTATCACCAAAGCTTCCTTCTTTCTTGGATAATTGATGTTGTATAACGTACCACAAACAGGAGGTGTTTATACAAGGCCTCGTGAGTAACGGGAACATCAGTCATCTAGGGTGTTAACAGGAAGGAATTGACGTATGAGATCCGAAGGTATAAATGGGAGATGCAGGGATGTGCTAGAGATAGTTGGTGGTATTGGTACACGAGAATCATGTTCGAAATGTAAGTACCTTTCTTTATATCCTTTGGCACTTCTTTTTACATTGCTTGACTAAATACATGTATAAAACAAATGGTCGTTATGTGTGTTCGTTGAGACCGTGATCCTGGTTGAAAGTCACACCACCTCTTGTAAATGCGAGCTACAACCCCAGAGTGTGACAATATCTAAAGCTTTCGCCACCAAATTTGGCAGTCAAAATGTAATTGGAGCAATTGATGGATGTCATGTGAGAATTCGGAGGCCAAAAAATGATCAAGACTCATACATCAATAGAAAAGGATACTTTAGTTTGCTAATACAAGGAACTGTCAATAGCTTCAGGCAATTTATTGACGTGTATTGTGGAGAGCCGGGATCTCTGCATGATGCTCGGTTGTTAAGGAGGTCCTCACTGTATTCTAAAGCCGAAAATAATGTTAATTTCTTTGGCAATAAATACTTACTGGGTGATTCAGCATATCCATCTCTGAGTTGGTTAGTACCTCCATTTAAGGACAACGGTGCCCTAAGTAACAATCAAAAAGTGTTTAATTTTAAACATTCATCGACACGCATTATTGTTGAACATGTGTTTGGACTTTTGAAGGGGAGGTTCCGCAGGCTACAACATTTAGAGAACTTAAATATCAATATCTGTGTGAAAATTATGATGGCTTGTTGTGTGCTTCACAATATTTGTGAAAGCAAACATGATAATACAGTAATAGAACCTTATGACATAAGTAGTGATGTTAATAGTGAAATACCATTGCAGTCAGATGTAAAAAACGTAACCAGGCATCGGAGAGAACAAATATTTGAAGAAATGTTTTCGTAATCAGATTATATGTTTTATTTTTTATTTCATGAAATAAACAAATATTTATAGTAACATATAACATATTCCCAATGTAATATTACATAATTTAAAAAACGAAATTACTATTCATATTGAAACAACATAATTACAACTATTTATGAGTTTAACTTATTTAAAATTTCTTGTAAGAGATTCACTTTCTGTTCCTCAACTTTGTTCCTTATCTCAAGAAGTCTCATTTTTTCCTTATGTCTTTCATGTTTTCTCCTAAATTCCTCTTTTTTTATTTGTAGAATGCTTCCTTTTTTTTCTTTACTTCGTGTCAGTGTGGGTGTTGATGACCGTGATGATGACGGAGAGGACATTGCAGACATCTCGGGAGGTGGCAATGTGTCGGGTAAATTTTGTAAGTTATTAGATTCTAATGTATGTGTCGCACTGCTCGATGGTTTTTCACCTAGAACCCCATCCATTTCAGAAAAAAATAAAAATCTAGTTGGTCCTCTTCCGGTTTTTAGCATGTTATCTTTTGCAGTTTTATAAGATCGCATTAAGTTTTTCCACTTATTGTGGCACACGGTAGCGTTCACCTGAAAGCCATTGCTTATCAGATCATTTGCAACATTTTCGAAAATGAATTTCCTTTTTTTAGGATGGTTTTCATCCTCAATGTGCACTTCCATTGACTTAATAAGACACAACGTCTCGTCATGCGACCAGCTGTGACGGTCGTTTTCCAAGTACTGTTCCAAATTGTCCGATGCCGGTTCCAAGTTCTCTACACGACTTTGATTTGAGGCAACTGTACTAATAGAACTACCGGTAACTTTTGCGTGAAATAATAGACTTTGTGCAAATGCATGATCTATAAAATATAGTAATTAGCAAAATTTGATTACATAGAAATAGTTATATAAACCTGTCATTGCACGATTGTAATCAGTTTCTGATACACATAATTTATATTGTACGTCGTCTTCCTCTAGGATTAATTCCATTATTGTTTCGTGATATTACCCAAGCAAAATATTTTAAGCAAAGATGTAAATAAAGAACTAAGGTTATGTTTACTGATCTACTCTAATGCTCCCGCGAAAAAGGTCGTGCATGAGGGGAAGAGGGAAACATGAACCAGATCAAAATGATCTGTGGTAATGGAACACACCGGAGCTCTTCAGAGTTACTCGATCAGCTCTGATCAGTTGAAAGGAAAGCGGCTCAGAATGGATCGAGAGGACACGGCAATGATGTGCTTATTTTTCATACATTGCATAATCAGTTTAATATCTCCCATTTTTAAATGAAGAGGTGTAATGAAAAAATAAACAAAAAGTAACCTAACCTTAAACTTTGATTACGTTTCCATACACCGCTAAATATGCAGAAAGCGTTCGTTTACTCGCAGACGAATCTGAAATATCTAAACGGATCCCGCTCCACTCCGCGAGCTCGAAACCGAACGCACCAGTAGTAGCACAGATGACAGATGTGTTATGATAAGGTTATGATCGAAGAAACAGCTGCACGAAGTTCGAGACGTTATACCAATTCCCCCATTTATGTAACTCTGTGGAATTAAATTCCCTAGATATTTCCGTAAGAAATTCGTAAAGTTGAACAAACTTCAACTTTACGTTTACCTTACGTAACCGCGCAAAGTATACGTAATACATACAAATTACGTAACCTGACTCTGAACAGGTGCATTGGTTTTTATTGTTTCAACTTTACGTTTACACTATGTGTGTCTATATGCTTACGCTCATTGTGAACAAGCACATTAAAGGCCGTTTGACATTTATGTAAATTTTGTAACAAATTTACATGCAAATTGTGTGCAAAAATTTACAATAGTGGCAAACATAAATTCTTGTATTAAATTTGTAAAAATATTTTAGTTGTGAAATATATAGAACTTGTTCTACATTCTGTGTAAATCGACGCGTAAATCTGCGCAGACTGCTAATTGCATTCGTTATGTTTTGACGCCTTTTCTGACATTTACTGGAAGAAAAGAAGAGGTTAGTTTGTGTCTTTGTGAATTTCTTTAGTACAACCAAAGATATTAATACTACTAGTATTATCTTTGGTACAACCACGACAGACGGTTCGTTATAAACTATTTTCGTGTTGTGTGATAAAAATGTCGTGGTCAAACAGAGAAGTTAGGGTATTAATTGAAGAAGTGCAAAAATATCCCTGCCTCTACCTAGTGAAATCGGCTAATTATAAAAATAAACACGCACGTAACGAAGCATTAGCTTCAATTGTTAAGGCACTTTTGCCATTACGACCCGGAGTTTGCGAAAATGACATAAAAGCCAAATTCAACGGCATTAAAAGTAACTTTTTTAGTGAACATCGCAAAGTTTTAGCCTCTCAGAAGAGTGGTGCCGGCTCAGATGATGTAAGTTCTCCATTCCTTTACCCATGGATGTCTAATTGATTAATTTGTTACAGGTATACAAACCCACATTGTGGTATTACGATCTTCTTGTGTTTCTATTAGAACACTATGAAACACGATCCGCATATGACTCATTAGGAGAAGCATCACAAACTCAAACGCAGAATGAAACCATCACAGAAAGTCTAGAGGAGGAAGTGATGGTGATGCTTTCTTCTCTTATCGTTAGAAAAATACTAAACATCTGTATTACAGGAAGAAGACACAGTATATATGTTAGATACCGAAACTGGAATGCTAATCCCAGAATCTAATATTAGTGAGATTGATAGGGAACAACCACCGATACTCAACACACCCAAGACAAATTGCAACAGCAATCGCAAAAGGAAGAAGACCAGCAATGAAGATAATTCACAATTTTTTATGGAATCAACTAAAGCTCTTCAAAATTTAACGGCGGCCATGCAGTCAAAACAGAGTGATAAGTTGCTAGGTGACAAAAACCAAATTTTGGCTAATTACATCGTTTCAAAACTAGCAAAAATTCACGAGGAAATTAAAGAAGAAATAGAAATGAAAATTGTAAATATTTTATTTGAGGGGATACAACGGTCAAACAATTTGTAGTTATAAGCACTAATATGAATAACCTACTTTCATTTCATTTAATTAAATGTTTATAAATTATGTGTTTTAACAGAATCCTCCTGCCATGCAACTGCGCCTTCCGGAGAATTAAAATACATTTTATAATTATTTCTAATGTCCCTTGCACTATTACTAGAGTTATTTGATCCTTGTCTACACAATGTCTCTAAATATAATGGTACACTGGTTTCTTCAGTAAAAATATTTCCATTATTATATACGGGATCATTTTCATGGCATAAATAATTATGAAGGACCACACACGCATGTGTTATAATTTGAACTTTGTTAACGCAGAGGTTAATTGGATTTAGCAGCACTCTAAAACGGTTGGCTAACATTCCAAAGCTATTTTCGATCATGCGTCTCGCTCTACTTAATCTGTAGTTAAAGATTCTGGTGTCATGGCAAAGGCCTCGTTGTGGATAGGGCTTCATCAAGTTGATTAATAACGGAAAAGCATCGTCTGCTACAATAACATATGGTGCTGTATTGCGAGTACCTGGTAAAAAATCAGGTGGAGGTATATTAAGACTATTATTATTCAACGCCCTTGCTAATGAACTACGATGAAAGATGCCACCATCACTAACTCTTCCATTTACACCAAGATTTACATATGTAAACCTGTACTTTGCATCACATAACGCTAACAAAACAATGCTGTGTGTCCCCTTATAATTATAATAATAAGCTCCATCAGAGATAGGAGGCCTAAAGTTAATGTGTCTGCCATCTAGGGCACCTATACAGTGTGGGAAATTCCACAGATCATAGAATTCCTGGGCAATTTTCTTCCACTCTTCTTCAGTATCTGGAGTCTAGAATGTAGAAATTTTTATACTAGTTACTATGATTTATTTCTTACCTTTAGATATTTTGGTGACAAATGTTGTATAATTGCAGTGCATACCAAAGGAACAAATCTGGAGATGGTGCTTTCATGAACTCTAGTGCTGTACATTAATGATCTATAGCTCTCTCCCGTTGCAAGAAATCGCAGTGTTATTTGCAACCTAAAAGAAAATATAGCTAGTAATAATATCAAGTTAGGTAGGCATGCTTGTAGTTACTTGTCTGTGGTGGAGATAGGTTCTCTCATGAATGTAACTTCTTTTCTTATGTCCTCATCAAGCAAATTTAATAAGAAATTAAACTGATGTACAGATAATCGTAAAAAGTTTTTGTATGAATTGGGATCTTCTGATCTTAGTTCTTGATTTAGCATGTTCACCACACCTCTACCTCGAATTCTACGATGTATCCATTCACGACACCATCTTCGTGAACGCCTTTTTTCTTTATTTAATAGCATTACACCAGCACGTGTAAGCATGCAGACAACGATGGCTGAACACACACATTCTATATCATCTTCATCTATAACAAATTCTCGTTAAACCGATAAAATTAAACTACAAATTCATTAGTTTTACAAAAATGTAACCAGTCTATCTGAATAATATTATGATATGAAATGAAATATAATCAGCTGTTCAAAAGTTTGAAGTACGCAATCGCAGTTTTTAAATAATTTACGTATGTTGCAAACATCTACATTCCATGCAAAATTTGTTAGCAATTTTGTTAGCAATTTTAAACGCTTTCCACGTTTGTAAATTTTTGATAAAATTCGGATGTAAATTTGTTACAAAATTTACATAAATGTCAAACGGCCTTAAATCAACTTGTATTTATACCAAACAGCTGATTAATTGTACTTACGCACGCGCACATTATTCACATAAATGGGTTGGCTACACTGTGTTACAACTTCATGGTTGTTAACTTTTCAATCTTGTAAAACGTAAACATACGATTACAAGGTGAGCACGAGAATACAAATAATTTTCAATATTGTAAAAGTCACTTGAAAAGTTTCTTGAAAAGGTTTCAATATTGAAAAGTTTTCAAGATACACGAGAATAGGACTGAGGGCCAGTTGTACAATGTCAGTTAAAACTTAAGTTTGTAGATTAAACTGTAGATTTTAGGTTTCTGCTGTTGTACAATCAACGGTAATAGAGAAATCTGCAGTTAAATCTTTACTGGCACCTTACCTTACGGTAAAACATAGAAAACTGCAGTTTGACAAAAAAACGGCACACGTACGAACATTGTTTACATTTTGTGTAAGGTTATGTTAATTGGTAACTACAACTACTGAATATCAAGTGAATATGAATGAAATATTTGATATATTTGAGGAATTAATGTCGGATGATGAGGAAATAATTAATTTTGTTGAAAGACCCCGTCGCCGTAAACAGTTTACTTCTTTATTTAACATTTTAATTTGTAATTGCAGTTTCGTTATGTTTTATCTTCTGAAGGTGCTCCTCATGCTGTAACTTAATTTGTTGAGTTTGAGCCTGAATTTGTAGGTTAATTAATTCTAATCGAGCATGTGAAAGAGCATTAATCTTCTCTCGACAATCATTTGTTAAATCGTTTTTCCCTTTTTTTGCTGTTCTGACATCTGAAATAACAGGTGTGGGATTAGGATTACCCATAAATGTTCTATAATGTTTACTCACTTGTTATGCGTTTTCGTTTTACTGCAATCGGAGTGGTGGTTGTAACTGGAACACTTGGTTTACCTGTGTCACTCTGATCATTAGAGGCCATTGGGACTACATCACTTAATTCGGTGTCATTCATGTTATTATCATCAGCTATACTTTCAATTTCATTCAATTCATCTGAAGAAACTACAGTGCAATGTACTGTCTTATCTTGTGCAACAGTAAGAACTGGAGTCTTTATGGTTTTCAGTTTGTCTGGAGTCCAGCCGGACCATTTCATCGATTCAACTGTCACATCAGCACCATCATTAACTACTTCGATTACATCACTATCAAACTGATTAATTAGCCCTTCTAAACTAATTCCAATAATTTCTTTTATTTTTTGATCTGTTTCAGTTATTAATACCGGTTTATCGACACCTCCACCCGTTTTATATACATTTCGCTTTTCGGTTGCAAATTTTTTTTTTGCATTTTTTTTTAGATTCTCATATTTACCTTTAATATTTTTACAACTTCTATATACATCATTATTGGCATTAAATTCGTTAGTAATTTCCTCCCATGTGGTTTGTTTTTGTTTCCATGTAATTGCGTCTGTTTTTTTATTTTCTATAATGACCTTATATTTATTAACTAAGGTCATTAACAGTTGTACTTCTTGTTCTTTAAATTTTCCATACTTATATTCAGATTCCATTTTCAAGCAAGAGAAACAACTCGGTTTCATACACCATTCATAAACATAACCTCCAACCTGATTGCTAAAATTAACATACATGAAGTTGCAGACATACCTAGGGCGTTCAGAAAATTTGTTAAAATTAAACTTCACTGTAAATGAACTTGTACAACACAACAAATGTTAACTGAAGTTAAAACTGAAGATTATGGTTTGTTTCAATCTGCAGTTTAAACCTACATTGTACAACTGGCCCTGAATGAGTAGTGACGCGGAAGCACATGCAACTACTTGTCTTGTTGCTGCCATTTTATTTAAGTCACAAATTCGCGCAAAACTACGGATCGACGGCAAACGAGCAATTCGTCTGAGTTTGCTTTGTGGAGACAGGGGATGAAAACAATTGATTGCAAACGCTTGCAAACGTTCGCGAACGTTTGTGAACAATGCTTTTTTGGTGGAGTCGCACCTTTACATAAATGTTAAATCTTAGGCTGGATCCCCATGCGCGGAAAAGCGGAAACGCGGAATGAAATTAAACGTTGTGATTGGTTGGAAGTCCGCCATATGCAACGTTTGTGTATTGCGCTTTCGTTCCGCTAAAACTTCAACTTTGTTCAACTTTATGCGGAATCCGTGAAAAAGATTGAGGTTATATTATACCTAATTGTTTACATGTTTTTCCTCTAAAATGAGCCAAGTAAGAATATATATTGTGTTATAAAATATAAATTACCTATAAATTTTTACAGTAGTATAAATGTGGATATTGTGGTTTCCTTATTGATCTTTATTGCAATAATTATTTAGAACATGTATGTTTTTCTATGTATGAGGAGGAGGACCATGATCTGTTAAGCGACGAAAACAATATCTTAACCGTAGGTAGGTTGGAACCATTTGAAAAATCTATCCTTCTTCTTGAACATTCACATTTTAGTTGATAAAATATCAAAAAGTGTTATACCTTGTACAAGTATTGAAGTATCATCAAACGCTTCTTGGGAAGAGTTACTAATAAACCATGTTCAAGATAGGAAAGCATTATATGACTGTCGGTTGCCACTGCAGGAAAGAACGGCAGCAAAGAAAAACATGTTATGGGTTGAAATTCACAATTTGCTAGGAGGAGCTAAAAGTGTAGATGAAATAAAAGCCAAATGGAAATACCTGAGAGATTGTTACTTAAAAGCAAAAAGAAAAATGAATCAATACAAACCAAGCGGATCGGCTGCAGCTGGTATTCCCGATCCTCGATTCAGGCATTTTTCCTTGATGAAATTTTTAGATGATTCCAGTGATCGGCAACCGTAAGTAATTGTATAATTGTAATAATAAATTATAAATAATTAGTGATGCTACAGGACTGTCAGTTCTTTGCCAGCAAGTCCTCAATCAACTAGTTTACAGAGCACAGTTTCGACCCCTCGACATTCGCCCAGTCTGGATTCTATACCAGCAAAAAGTAAACATATATTTAATCTCTAATGCAAAAGTTATAATTTACTGTGCTATTTAGGAAAAAAGTCAGAAGATCTACAAAGGGGTATATTGGAAGCGTTGACAACGCCAACAACAAATGATGGTGTGGATGGAATATTGATTCGGATAGGTGACAGCTTGAGGAGATTTCCTTATAGAGATAGAACAAAACTAGAAATAGATATACTTCAAATGATTTATGACAGAGAGTGTGAATTAAATTTATAGTAATAAGTTACATATTTAGTAAGTATATTTCTAAATAAGACGAACATAAATGTGCCTTGTTATTTAAAAATCATTTTGCAATGCTTTTTCCCATTGCCACTCCACTGCTCCCAAACCAGAAAAATAATCTGCAAATTTTTCTCTGATTGTTGAAGCATTTCGACTATAAGTATTACTGCCAGTGCTGTTAATCTCGCATAAATTACCCATTACAATGTCTCCCGTATTTTCTGTCACACGAATATTATAATCTGCCTCATTTTTCATTAAAATGAAATTATGCAAACAGACAGTCGACTGTATAATCTTTTTTATTGTTGTAGAACTTGCTATAATTGGTTTGCGAAATATTCTCCATCTACCTGCCAGTAATCCAAAAGAACTTTCCACAACCCTACGAGCGCGACTTAACCTATAGTTAAACACTTTTTTACGCATATCTAATTGGCCTCTACGTGGATAAGGTCGCATCATGTACTCCGTTAAAGGAAAGGCTTCATCGGCCACTAAAACGTACGGTACTTCATCTGGATCTGGTAAATTGAATATTTTTTGGTCAAAACCTTGTCCCATTGCACTACATTTAAAAATACCACTATCACTTTGTCTTCCTTCACCACCAATATCCACCATGACAAACTGGTAATTAGCATCTGCTATTGCTAATAAATTGTACGAATGACTGCCTTTGTAATTGTAGTACGTGGACCCGGAATTTGGTAAAGCCTATAATAAAATATATATATTATGGATGCTGACAAAGCCAAAAATATAGTTCTACCTGCATAACTACGTGTTTCCCATCAATTGCCCCTATACAATTTTTAAAATTCCATTTCACCTCAAATTCTCTAGCAATCTTCTTCCAGTTTTCGGCACAAGGTTCAACAAATACAATTGGTTTAAGGGTATCCCATATCACCTGACAAGTCTCTGCTATTATTTGTGATACAGTATTTTTCCCAACACGAAACATATAATGCATAGACATCATGCTATCTCCTGAAGCTAGATAACGTAAGGTGATTTGTAAACAGATTGAAGGGTGAACAGATTCACGTATGACATTTTGTTTTTCAATTTTTGGACCAACTAATCTTAACAATTCATCAAATGTTTCTCGTGTCATCCGAAAGAAGTTAAAAAACTTTTCAGGATCATGGCTGCACATTTCCTTTACTAAGTTGTCACTAGCTCCTTGCAAATCTACGTGTTTCCCATCAATTGCCCCTATACTACTATCTTTGTTCTTCTTTCAAAAAGTCTCTAACCCAAAATCTCCTAGTGACTTTCTCATCCTGTTGCCTTTCGATGTATAGTACATATAAATACAGTAACTTTTTGCGATTTTTATCATTTTTATAGAATAAAGGAGACTTTCTTTGTTTGGCAACAACTGCACCAATTACTGACAACAAAGTGTTGCTATTGAAAGTATTCATTTTTTATCACTATTTCATACAACAGATAAAAATAAGAAAACAAACATAGGTTATGTCAAGCTGTGTTTATTATTGCGCTTTTAAAATAAAGCAGAGTTCATAAGGGACGTTCCGTAAAAAATACGCGGAATACGTGTTTCCGCTTTTCCGTACATGGGGATCCAGCCTTAAATGTGTACCGTGAACGCAAACCGCGTAACTTGACATATATAACCTCACTTTTAACTCTTAAATCTTAATTGTTAAATCTTAAATGTTGCATAAACCCACCTTAATTTATATTTATTATGTAAATAGATATTACTGGCGAACCTGAACGGGAAAATGAACTTCAACAGGAAAGTGAACCTGTTGTTCCCACAGATGAAGATGCCACTGAAAATGCAAAATGGTCGAATGCTGCGGTTTTACTGCTCATAGAGGAATATCGCACCCATAAGAATGATTTAGAAAAAAAGAATTCTATGAAGAGACATATTTGGCAAAAGTAATTAATTTGGTTTTCTTGTGAATGTGTAAAATGTGAAAGTTTGTTTTGCAGAATAGCTACGAATCTGAATAATGTTACATCCATGTCATATTCATGGGACCAAATATAAAACAAGTAGAAGAGCTTGTTACGGTCTTACAAGAGCGTTAAAGCGTTAATGAAAGCGGTAGAGGTCGGAAACACTGGCCGTACTTCGATGTAATGGATGAGCTCTTGAGAAGCAATCCGTCTGTTGAACCACCAGTGCTAATTCACAATGGGCTCGTAGAGGTGCGTAACCAAGAGCTAACATCGAATGACAATTCGCCGTGCAGTACACGGTCTAACACTCCGGTTAGAAATGTTCGAAAGAGGAGAGCTTCTGGCGACTTACTGGATATATTGCAGTCCGTGTTGAAACAAAACAAAGAACAACATGAAGAGGACTTGGCTGAAAAACGTCGCTTTAATGATTTGTTGCAACAGTTGGTAAACAATAAATAAGATTACAAATTCAGTTTGTATTCTAAATATTTACATTTTGTATTTTAATCGATAAATATACTTTTATAGTTGGTTCATTATGTTCGTACGTTTATCGATACCAGTCCTATAATCTGGTCTGGCAATATTATTATTTTCAGCATCTGCATCATTTTCACAATTATTATCAGCATTGACCTCTGGAATTTCTTCGCAGCGTTCTGTACAAAAATTGTGCAGGATAAAAGCTGCCATAACAACATGTGGGATATAAAAACTGTTATGCAGTTCCAAATATATAATTCAACCTTCTCCAGCGTGCCTTTACAATACCAAATGCTCGTTCAACGCGACAGATCTGGTAGCAGCATGACATAGGTTGTATTTTGTTTGTTTTCGATAAGGTGACCATTATCTCTGAAGGGTGTCAACAGTCTTGTGTTTATGGGATAGGCTGAATCGCCCAGTAAATGAGAGTCATTCGGGAATTGCAGCTCTTCATTACATTTTTGACGAACTTTTGAATGTTGAAATACCCGAGCATCATGAACAGATCCTGGGTATCCTATAAAACAATCTGTGAACATGTTTTTATGATCACAGACCCCTTGCAAAATTATGGAAGCTCTTCCCTTACGATTTACATAAGCAGCAGAATTTTGCTTAGGAGGACGAATATTTATGTGGCACCCATCTATGGCACCCAACACACCGGGAAATGATTTTATTTTCTGCAAGAATGAAATTGTGTAGTATACAGTTGAAATAGAAATATATAAATACCATAAAACCAGTGATAGTTTTAACTGCATATTCTCCTTGTGGCCATTTGATGAAAATGGACGCTTTGGTGTTTAAAATTTGGGAAATTCTTACAAGGCAATGAAATACCGAACTTTTTGAAACGTTAAATCTGTCTGCAATGGATGTAAAGAGACGCTTTACACAACAGCCTTATTCTTAATATGTTTAGGTACCTATAGTTTTCTTGATTTGCCAAAACCCATACAAAAATCATACATTGAAGTGAAAACTTGTGGCCTTCCAACATTCACTTCCGATGCTTTATACGAACTGCAAATCTTAACCCTAACAGCAAAAACGGTTGGTTAGTTGTTGGCCCAACTATTCTTCCCACAGTTGGTCAACGGTAAGACTTGGCACTCCATTCAACTGTTGGCCAACTTACAACCTTCCAACAATGGCCCAACCAATTGATCATAGTAGGGCCAACACATTATTTCTCCAGTGGGCCTACCACTTCTCCTCCTTATTAGCCGACAATTATTTAAACAATATATTGTTGTTTACGTTATTGGACAGGAATTAAGTAAAATAAAGTATCCAAAGAAAAATAAATTTTTATTTTAAAATTAAAAAAATATAAATTTTTCAATGGAAAAGTTGCACTATTACAATATGGTAAAGATACATATGAATTACTCGTCTTTTCACAAAAGTTCGGCAAAAGCAAACATTTTTTATATAAATCGGAAGATTGAATTATTTGATTACTCTTGAGAGTGTGCAGTTTGTAAATGTTTAACTTGCTAGATTTTAGTGGCACAGTGTAGAAATCATCTGTGTGCACAAAAACATCACAATGTAATTCATAGGAGCGGGTATTCTCATTATTTTCAATTGATCTTACGATAACAACATCATCATTTTTTGTTAAAAAGCAAGAGTCGGCTCGTGTTGTACCCACAACGCAATTGTTAGTTAATCTTATTGAAGTGATTTTACCTCTTTTTCTTTTAACCGCACTTTCTGGATTACATTTTGGAATGTCATCACCACTTAACTCTCTTAACCGTTTATAAACTTGCTGCAAAGGATTGTTAGGACCACGTACCATTCTTTTTAATTTCCCAAGAAAATTTTCAAATGGAAAGGATGAAAAGTTATCAAGACAACCAAAACGTCCGATCAGCAGCTAAGTGAAGAAGGTTATGAAAATTATAAACTAGAAGTTCTTTGCAGTAATTTTGGGAAATATTTTCAACGAAACAATGCGATAAATCGTTAGCATAGTTTCTCCATATTTCAGATTTACAATATTCACTATTAAGTAAATACACAGCACAATGAAGTAATAGAAAATGTGTGTATAATTTTTTTGGTAGTATACCATGAAGACAAACTGGCCCAAGGTATAAAACAAATGATCGGAATTCGGTAGCTTTCCAAAATTTAAACATTTTTAAAGGCCTAGGTCTTCTGCTAAATTCTTTGGGATAATGCTGTTGACTTATTATGGACAATCTAACTGATATATCTGCAATGGAAGCTGCACGAAGTTTACACTTCTTGGGGCCCTTTTCCACCCATATTCGAATTAGCCGTTTCATAACACCCAGGCATATCAAGTGCATATAGTCTAACGGCACCTGTGATACCAAACCTATATCAAGATCAGTAAGTAAAGTCTTTGCATACTGATGGTCATCATAAAGTACATTTTTAAAAGAAGAATCGGTCTTAAGAGTATAATTTTTTAAATACTGCCAAGTGGTTCTACCAATGTATAGGGGAAGTGGGGGGAATGGTGGCCCCGTCTTGTTGATAGGTAGTGTTGTAAGGTTAGGGCATCATGACGTTCAATAGGGTCGACAACATTACTTAGTCTCCTATTTTCCACATTTATCGTATCGTTGGTAACGGAAAATTTTGTCTTTAACAGTTTTCCAAATTGAGCATGGGTATGAGAACGTCCGAATTTATCCATGATGAATGTAAGCGGGGTAGACGGAAATGGGGTATTTATACTAGTTGAGATAAAAATCGCTGCGTAGGCTTTTGTATGTAACCCTCCTCGTACAGCTCTTCCACGATTGATATTATATCATTTTTTACTCCTGTGTTGCCTGCCATTTTTTCACCCCATAAAACCTCTAGGTCCCTAATCAATTCATGCACGCTATTCCAGTATTTGTATTCGATCGGTCGGTCGAGTTCCTTGAATAGAGTAATACCGCTTCCCGATTTCGCACGCCCCCTATTCGCCGCTTCCTCCTCCTTCAGGAGAGGCTTTATTATCAGCGTATACTTTTTGCTCTTATTGCCACGAATCTGTTCTGTGGGGTCGTAATTGCGCCGTGCGACATGAGTTGCTATTATTATCTGCTTATAGTTACTTCTATCCTGCTTGGATACTAGCGATTCATCCGGTTCATTCATGATGATAAGTTCGTATAGCCCCGCAGTACCTTTGTACCGGTTCCCGTTAATGACCAAATCTTCGTCATCTATCGTCACCTCAGTCTTGCCCATTCTCCACTTATCCGTTTCGACATTATAATGAATTCCAAAGGTGGTGTCAATTGCATTACTCGTATCTCTTATCATGCGCTCAACGTATATACGTGGTAGGTGTTTGTATTGTTCCAAAAAGGCTTGCGAACCTTGCATATCAAGTAATGATGCAGATGATTCTGATGCGATAGAGGACTCTTCTTCTTCTTCTTCCGGTTGATGCTCTCCTATCACTGTACTCTGTAGAAATGATGGCGCCTGTCTCAATGATGGAGTAGCCGTGGGATGAAAAGGTCTAACCATAGGACTAATATCAGTTGGCGGATATTTTTGAAAGTATGGAAGTCTAGCCAGCGGACTGATCTCGGTAAGGGA